TTCCTTCCTCTCTGTAAAAAATCAATAAAATATATTTTTTTAAAAAAAGAGAATACTGAGGCACACAGAGGTTAAGTCATTTACCTAAGGTCACACAGCTAGTAAAGGTTAGAGCCAGCGTTTAAGCCCCAGGTTGTTGTCCTTAATTCTTGGGCCATCCTGCTTCTTGATAAATATTCTGACACTGACTAGGAGAGATTTTTTTACTAAGTTGGGCTCATATATATGAAGCCAATCTTGATAGCACCGCCTCACATTTTCTCATCCTTTTATTCAGCCATTTTCATGACTGAGGGTTCTTGAAGGACATTCAAGTCATTGCCTGTTTTTCACAGTAGCTAATGACCAACTCTTTCTGCCAGTTTATTTCCCCACGCCGTGATTTTGCTTAATGAAAAAATTTTGAATTTCACTATCAAAAGATATTAAATTGGTTTTCACTTCAGCGCAGTTTTCTTTTAATAATTGTGTCCAAATAGTTGGAAAATATCATTCAAAGTGCTGATATAATTAAGGTTGGATTTCCTTTGATATTTACAAGTGCCAAAGATATGAGAAATATGTAGGTAGTGAAGGACTTAGGAGGTCAGTCTTTCTATTCAAGGAAATCTGAGTTTTCTTTTTAATGCTTCATTATTAAATTTTTAATCTTAAAAACTTCAATATATCCAAAGGTCAGAAAAGGTGATGACCTATTTCTGTTTTCCAAACCAACTGCAAAGTTATTTTTACCATAATCCAGATCTCAGCAAAGGCATTTCATAAGAGAAATGGAAAAATTATAAAGAATTTTAGCCTGAATATTTCTGATAAAAATGTTATAACACTCCTGTGCTTTTATACTTTTTTTCTTACTAAGTGATGTTTAAGCTACCTTTTCTAAAGCTAACCTGTAACTAGAGTCTTTTCTGTGAATAAGGTACCCCGAATTTTTCCAGATGGTCAGGGTGTCACCACCTTCTCTAATAAATAAATACAAATTAAAATAATAAAGAGACAGGTTTCACCCTAAATTGTCAGGGCTTATAAGTTTTGATAAGCTCCAATGTTTTGACAGTGTGAGAAAACAGGAATTTCATATTTATTTTTTTAAATATATTTTATTGATTTTATACAGAGAGGAAGGGAGAGAGAGAGTTAGAAACATCAATGAGAGTCATCGATTGGCTGCCTCTTGCACACCCCCTACTGGGGATATGCCTGCAACCAAGGTACATGCCCTTGACCGGAATCGAACCCGGGGCCCTTCAGTCCCCAAGTTCTATCCATTGAGCCAAACCGATTTCGGTGAATTTCATTTATATTGATGTTATATTTTTCAGGGCAGAAATGTTCATAGAAACCTTAGGTGCTTATGCAATAGCATTTCATTGCTAGACACTTAGCCTATAGCAGTAGGTACCCAAATGAGGTAAGATACTAGTATGAAGATATTAACTAAAACAAATTCTTTCTAAGGAACAAAAACAAAATGAGCCGGGACCGGTTTGGCTCAGTGGATAGAGCATTGGCCTGCGAACTGAAAGGTCCCGAGTTCGATTCCGGTCAAGGGCATGTACCTTGGTTGCGGATACATCCCCAGTAGGGGGTGTGCAAGAGGCAGCTGATCGATGATTCTCTTACATCGATGTTTCTAACTCTCTATCCCTCTCTCTTCCTCTCTGAAAAATCAACAAAAATATATTTTAAAAAAAAATGAAATAAAACTAAATTTCTATCCCTATGGGATTGATAAACTAAAAGACATCAGCAGAATGGAACTAGGACTACTTTTATTTTATTTATTGATTGACTGGTTTGATAAAGAGAGAAAGGAAGGAAGGGAGATATATATATATAAATTTGTTGTTTCACTTATTTATGTATTCATTGGTTGATTCTTGTATGCACCCTGACCGGAAATTAAACTCAAAACCTCAGCATATTAGGACAATGCTCTAAGCAACTGAGCTAATCAGCCAGGGCTCTAAGGCTACTTTAAAAACAGAGTTTATGTACATTGAGACAAAAAGAATCCTGTGTGATATTATTGAAGAGGACTACATTATAGAACAGTATATCTAGAACATGCAGAATATCTGGAATAATCACACATTTGGAGGGGAAAGATGTATGTGTACGTATGCACATAGAAAAAAGAATAGATATCAAATAATGAGTGAGAGTGGCATGAAAGATTTTTTTGTTTTTGTGATCCATTTCTATATTGCTTGTACTTTTATTAGTGTGTTTTACCTTTGTTGTTATTATTGTTAATCCTTACCTGAGGATATTTTTCCATTGGTTTTCAGAGAGAGTGGGAGAGAGGGAGGGGAAGAGAGAGAGAGAGAGAGAGAGAGAGAGAGAGAGAGAGAGAGAGAGAGACATTGATGTGAGAGAAATATGTTGGTTGGTTGCCTCCCACATATTCCCCGACCAGGGTCAAGGATTGAACCAGCAACCCAGGCACGTACCCTTGACCGGGAATCGAACCCAAGACCCTAAAGTGTTTGGGCCAACACTCTAACCACTGAGAACCACTGGCCAGGGAGAGTATATTTTACTTTTATAATCAGGAGAGAACAAAAAAAGAATATACAAAACTTTGAAATGAAGTAGCCTCAGTAAAGCATGCAGGAAACAACACACAGAGATCACCCAGGCCAATTTAGAACAGGCCAAAAAGTCTCAAACAGGATGAAGAGGGGTTGGTGGAAGGTGAGTTCATTGCAAGGGAGAGCCTGTGTACACAGCAGCATCAAAACCAACAACAGAGCCCAGAGTTCTGCAGGCACAGATCAGATGGAAAACAGGGAGCTAAGAGGAGCATCCAAGGGCCCTAACGCAACAGGAAGGGAGGAGCAGGAAAGGATTCCATATGCAGATGATGGATTTATACCAGCAACACAGTGCTTGATCTGAAGCCAAAAGGCTGCTGCTTTCCATCCTTAGGGAGCAGCTGAGCGCTGGTGGGAACACAGAAGAGGCGGGAGAGGCAAGGCTCTGTTGGTGGTGGTAGCTGTTGGTGTTGGCAAAAAAAAAAAAAAAAAAGGCTAAGATTGTTTCCCAACTAGACTTCATTTTATTATTCTAAGTCGCAGGTAAACTAGACATGTTTGAATGTGTCTTACGGAATCTTCCAGAGCATAATAGCTTTGTTGTGGCTTCCTTACAGACTACCTCTATTTCCAAAAACTTGTCAAAGCTTTCTTTACCCATTCACCCTCCTTGTTTTTACTGAGTACTCCGTGCAGGTTTCCAAGCTAACGGTGGAGATGAATATTAAAGGTAATTCAGGAAGAGCTTCTTAGCCCAAGGAACTCACAGCCTCGTAGTAAAATAAATAAGAATGAGAGAAGCACACATTCGAGTTACAATGTGATAGCTTCGTAGAGTAGAAAAGGTCAGGGTTTGACTGTATTTGTTTTCTGACTCTGTGACCTAAGGTAACTACTTCAGTTAGTTTTTGCATTGATATCATATCTAGTATAATATCCACTACTGTGCCTGACACATGGTAGGTACTCAAAGTATTGCTTTATTATCCAAATCCCATAAAAGGTCCTTTCCTTGAATGGAAAAATAAGATAGCCCAGCTGGTGTGATTCTGGTTGAATGTTGACCCATGAACCAGGAGGTCACGGTTTGAGGCTTAATCCCCAGTAGGGGATGTGCAGGAGGCAGCTGATTGATGATTCTCTCTGATCATTGATGTTTTATCTCTCTCTCTCTCTCCACTTCTCCCTTCCTCTCTCTGAAATCAATAAAGACATATTTTTAAAAGAAAGAAAAATTATATAATATCTCACAGAATTATTTTGAAAGTTATCAATAATCGTTTCCTTCAAATTACTTAAACCTACAAAGATGAATCATTGTTAAACTCTGCTAGTACTTGAAGTAAAAATAGAAACAATTGCTGTTTATTCTTTTTTTAAAAATGTAACACGATTGCTTTTTCTGGATGCACAAGAGTGGGTAGTGAATTTCTCCCCCAAGATGCTCAGTGGGCTTTTTTTTATTGCTTTATGCACCTATAAATAGGAGTCTTGAGAATTTGGGACCTTGGAACATTTCTGGTCTACAAAGTTACTTTAGTGTGTTTACTGTAAAATCCTGCTCCCACATGTTTTGAAAAATTCATAGGAAGTGTATCAAAGTTATGTCCTGATACGCTCCAAATAGGGAAGGAGGTTCTGCTCCATTGTAAGCATCTCAGAGCAGGGGTCTAGACAGTGGTATCATCAAGAGACTAAGACCCTGCACACTTAGGATACACCAGGAAACGTGGCCCAAGGAAAACAGGATTATGGGGACCTGATAATAGCCTCTTACCACATCCGAAAGGCCTGTGGTCTTCCACCTGTATGACCAAGGATGAGCTGGTACAGCTTAGACCCTCTTGGACCACTGCTGACACAGGACAGCTCTAGCTCTGCATCTGTCCCTACCCTCAGCTTGATCTTAGCAATGGGTCTGATTGTTCAGTCAGTGAATCCTCAGACTTGCCTGAGTGTCCTTTATGTGATTTGTATAAAATAGTAGGCAGCTCCACCAGGTTGACTCTGCCAGGAGGCAGCTGGCTGTTGAACTGCCTCAACAGTAAGGGCATTGCTCCTTCAATGAAGCTTGGCTCTGTGCTTCCTTTCCAGAGAATCCCGCAGCCAACAAAGATTCTGGCCAGGAGTCCGAGTCTATTCCGGAATATACCACAGAAGAGGAGCGGGAGGACAACCGGCTGTGGAGGACAGTGGTGATTGGAGAACAAGAGCAGCGGATTGACATGAAGGTCATCGAGCCCTACAGGAGGGTCATTTCTCACGGAGGTAGTCCAGCTCTGTGTGGATCTGGGGAGGACAGGGGAACAGGCAGCCTTATACTTTTATTAGAAAATGAAACTAGAGTGCTCTGCAGCATGACACCCCACAGACCCTATTGGGCAGTCAAGGTTTAGGGGACTGTAGTGCTAAATATATCACTTTATACCCAATTCTACAAACATTGCAAAGCAAACTGCAAAAATAACTTTCCTATGTGAAAATGTTTTTCATATCACAGATCTGATAGTTATAATCTTCTATGCAAATTTCTTGAATGCCAGAGTTGTCCAGTTTTATAATGTCTGTTCACAATTCATTTGGGTTAGTTGTAGGGTTTAAGTGAATTGTTTTTGAGTCCTTATCACCGTAGCCTGCAGTAAATCACTACAATAGAGCTGCTTCTAATTACAAAATAGTATGTTGAATCATCTTTGGGAAATCTTTTTAGATTCAGCCTTGTCATTGTTTTCCCCTCCCTGAAACTGGCTTTTCTCTAAACGCCATGACACCTGTGCCTGACAACAGCCAGTTCCAGCCAAAACCTCCATGTGCCTACTGAGGGGCAAGGGAGAGGGGAAAGCTGTGTTTCATATTTCCAGTGCTTTCTTGGAGCTCCAGAGCCTGGACTAATCTAGGATTCACAACAAGCCAGATGAGCAACACATTTAACATGGTCAACTTCAGAAAGCATCGACGGCTTTTTTATTTTCCTGCTGCATGCGCTCCTTCCCTGCAGTCCCGAGGCACCCCCTAATCACTCAGCTGTTCCAGAACAGTGTAAGCTAACATGGCAAACGTTCTTCCCTCTTCCTCATCAAGGACAGGGAAATAAGCATCTCGGGACGGCATTAAACTCCTAGCTTTTGTTTTCTAAATAGTAGGAGGACATTGTGTTTTTTTCAATCAAATTTCCCTCCACCAGCAAATTTTCCACTTTCCAGCCTATGCCTTGCTCCCTGCAGGTAAGTATCTGACCACCCAGGGACTCCAACCATGACAGTGAAGGAAAATGCCAATAGGTGTCCTCAGCCATGAGCTTCCTTTTTCCTGCTTCACAGTGTGGCCTGAAATGGCATTCTGTCCCCATGATAGTGCTGTGGGCTGGGGCCGTTTCCTCTGAGAGAAACTCTCCCCATAGCCCTTCAGAATAGAGCTGGCCTGACCTCCTGGAGGTGACAGACAAGTGGTCCTAGGGCCAACCCTTTGTTAGGACAAAAACCACAGCCTGAACATCACCCAGAGCTTCCGAGAAGGCCACGCCTCCTTTGCACAACCCATTGGGCACAGAGGTATGATTTGTTTAGAAATAAAAACAAATCAGCAGCTAACTATAAACGTAGTCAGTGCTCATTCTAAAAATAAAAAGGATTTTTTAAAAAGTGTAGAACAGTGATGATACTTATACATGTCTACCCCTTGGTCTTAACTGAAGAGCCATTGGTTATACAGAAGGCAGGCTCACTGCTTCGCTGCTCTCCTAACACCTCTTGTTCCTCCAGTGCCCCCACCTGCCTGTTCTTTGCACCACAGTAAAAGTATGTGGGTTGTGTGGGTGGGTCCACTGCCTGAAATAGGAGAGAGCAGTTGTCATCAGCACAGTAGGGACAGAAAAAGCCCTGCTTCTGCTTGTCACGTCCTCTGAGATATAACTGAGCTGACCCCTCAGGGATAACATCGTTTGCTGCACCCTCCATCCCTGCCGCCTGCTCCCATTGGCATTAGCGCCTCTTGGTTCTGTTGCTGAGTTTGTTTTTTGTCTGCGTGACTGTCCAGTTTGGAAGATAAGGCCACCTTTCCTACCCCCTGCTCCACCTCGTCTTTCTCCAGGCGCTGGCCTGCATGAGTGTGCCTCTGGCTGCACCCATCCGGGACGTCAGCGAGATGCCGCCTCTTCCTGTGCCCTGAACAGCTTTTGTGCTCTGTGGGCAAAGATCGTTCAGATGTTGCTTCTGAATTTGCCAGAGTTTGGTCTTCTGTGTTGGAAACTCACACCGCTTTTTTAAACTTTAGTGATGAGAAGGCAGTCCTCCTTAGTTACCAGTCTGTGGAGTTGGCCATCCTGGCTTCTGATGAGCATTTAATCATCAGTGCCCCATCCTGGATGGGGATCTTGTTTTGGTGCCTTGCATTTTGCTAAGAATGTTTTCCCATTCAGGCCAAAGGAGAAGTGCCAGCTTTTGTGCTCTGTGCAACTGCAAGATGATTAGAAGAGCTGCATAAATTAACTAGAAAGCAAGGCCTTACCAAGTGTCCATACCAGTTGGGGATATCAGTGTGGGAGAATAGTTTTTGAACAAATAATCCGGTCCTCTGCATTGGTGACCTTGACATGAGCTATTGTCAGAGGCCCTGCACACATTTACAATAACAGGGTTCAAGACCCAATTTTTCCAGGAATTAACTTGTGATTTTGGCAATTAATCACATAACTTCTCTGGGCTTTAATCACTTCATCAGTCATCAGAGGGTGACCAATATTCCTGCCATCTGCTAAAATTAAAAAAAGCAAAGAGAGGGTGGTTTGGATCTGCCAGCAGCATGGGGTCACTCTGAGGCCAGAACTGGCTTTTTTGAACTTGAAGCAGAGAATATTTTTAAATGACCAAGTGCAGTTGTGCCATAGCATTGTAACAAGGGGTTTCTTTTCTTTCTTCCTTTTTTTTCTTATTTTCTTGTGTGTGTGTTTTTTTTTTTTACTTCTTTTATTATAGGAGATTCAGGTAACCTTCTCTGCCATGTTGCTGGACAAATGATCCTGGAAAGAATGAGAAGAGTTACTGGCTGGTGTGTGTGTGTGTGTGTGTGATGTTTCCGTTGTGACTGTGGCAGCTTTCCTTCTGTCTCCATTCCATTTGCGGGCCAGCAAACTTGTGTTACGTCCCTTTCATGCCTGTCTGTTCTGCCTCAGGTAAGGTTTGCATCACTGCTTCAGAGGGTCTCAGGAGGCACCATGGTGGGATTGCTGACGCACCTCAGCACACATGCTCTGAATTCACCTCAGGGTCATTGAGAAGAGAGGCTAATAAAATACACATTTCTAAAACCCAAATTTCAAACGCATCATGCAGTTGCTCATGGGCAACTTTACATGAGGAAGCTGCATATTTAGAATAGCAATCGAGTTAGTCAATCCCCTTAAGGAGATCTTGCAGGACAAGAGGGAATGGCCCACTCATTCTGGTTATTGCACTTAGTCAGCCATTGCTATTTACAGTATCTCCAAAGCCTGACAACAATGGCACCAGCTCTTGACTTAAATGGAAAACTCTCCTGAGGAACTCTTTTCCTTCCATGTCCTTTTGTACATCTCCTCCTTTCCTCCTGTTTCCTTCCTCTTTCTTTTCTTCTCTTCCAACTGTTGAGGTGCCCCAAAGTACAAAAAGCCATCTTTGTACATTTTAGTAATTTTTACCTAGAGCCATTCCTGACTTAGACAATGGTCAGAAGGTGGTAAGTGGTTAAGCATTCGTTTGGTTACATGAACTCTGGGGAACATGACAGCATTCCAAAGACAGACAGCATGGACACAGAGTTGAACTGTCATTTAAGATGACCTCTGAAATAGTCTTCAAAAACTCCAGGCTTTCATTTAAAAACAAGACAAAAACAAAACAAAACAAAAACCAATGCATAGAAATTCTTCAGAAATAGAAAAAGAGCCGAGACCGGTTTGGCTCAATGGATAGAGCGTCGGCTTGGGGACTGAAGGGACCCGGGTTTGATTCCGGTCAAGGGCATGTACCTTGGCTGCGGGCATATCCCCAGTAGGGGGTGTGCAAGAGGCAGCTGATCGATGACTCTCTCTCATCGATGTTTCTAGCTCTCTATCTCTCTCCCTTCCTCTCTGTACAAAATCAATAAAATGTCATTGTTTAAAAAAAAAAAAAGAAAGAAAGAAATAGAAAAAGAAATCAAAGCAACTGAGCAGTCATGATCTTGAAGTTATTCTGACAGCCAGACAGCTACATTCAGAAAGATGCTTTCAAAAGTATGCTTTTGCACCTGCTTTTAAAGCTGGATTCATTATGTCTGTTGTCTCTTCTGACGAAGCCACCTTTTTCATTGTGCTGAGTCTGCATTGCACACCTTTATGGTGTAGGATTAGTGTAGCTAAGTCAACTTATCCTTTATGAATTTCCATTTTATTTAGGCTTCTTAATAAAAGCCTAAAATTGTTCGGAGGAACAAATACTTCCTGTATTGAAATATATCTCTTTCTTTCATTTTCCTTCATATCGCATTCTAAAAAGGAGTTGCAAATATCGACATATTGGAAAAGATGAAACTAAGGCAAAGGATCCAGAGGGAAGCTACTGCAACCCTGTCTCACAAACATGTGTTGCATCAGATGTAGATTTACATAGGTAGCATCTTCTGTAAACACTGCATACAACCTCAAATTAGTAATACACACGAACCCATAATTTGATATATTTTTAGATGGTATCACTCTCTTTTCCACCTCTTTTGTGGTAGAATCCCACTCTCTCTTTGTAGAGAACATCTTATTAAACTGCTTTTCAAAAGTTAAGCCCCATCCAAATCTATATCCAGCCAGTATTTTACTGCCTTGTCATCAACAGAGGGATATTTAGAGTTTAGAAAGAATGAGACATGCTGAATTCTGAGAGCACTGGATCAGGCGTGAGTGTGTGTCCTGTCCTCCCTCTCAGAGCCTTGAGGAAATCTCTGTGATGATTCTGAAGTCCAGAACTATGTTATATGACAAAAATTGCAAGTGTTTAAAAGGGGATATAAAAACATGACCCTGCGGTGCATTGCTTCCATGTTGAAGTCCGGAAGACACGTGAGATCCCATACACAAACCCGTGGGGATCTGGTCAACCGCTGCCATGAATTTCAAAGATGAGCTCTAAGGGAACCCAGAGCTTGATTAGAGGATGGAGCAGAGCTTTCCAAAATGGGTAAAATGTCCCGAGATATCTGCATTTCCCTTAGCTTTTGGAGTTTCAGTGACCACACTTGTCTGCATCTCCTGCCTCCTTTTTTCTCACCACCCTCTGCAAATAGAACTCCACCCTCCACTCATGTTACCAAGAAGTAATTCTCCAGTTTCTTCCAACACATGTATTTTCCTAAAACTCCAGACCAACCCTTCTTGAGTTTTCCCTCTCTCTAAGAGATGAGGTTCTGATTTCTGTGCCCAGTTATTCTACACCTGAGAGTGTTTCTCTGCACCTGGAGATCGCAGGGAACCAGTCCTCTAAACCAAAGCCAAGACGGTTACTTGTCTATTCACTAGCATCTGGTCACTGAAGTCTATGAGTCTGAGATTGTAGTGCAATTTGGTGATGAAATTTTCCCTTCAAGTTAAAACTTAAAAGAGCTGAAAATGATTACTCTGGACCTCTTTTTTAGCCATGAAAGGAAAAAAAGTATTATATAAATTACATTTTTTAAATATATAAATTAGAAGCCCATAAAACAGGAAGTGTTGCTCCTATCCTTTGATAAGTTGAGTACTTATACACCCAGTCATGGCTATGTATAACATATAATCGTTCACAATAGATGGATACCCTATATATACAAATATATTAACACACTATATTTAAGACTCTAGATAACATATGTTAACCACTAAGAGACAATTATATGTGTATATACTTATAAAAGTACTGTCTATATAATACTAAATTAAAAATATACCTGTTACATCCACACACTTGCCAAGGTTTCCAGATTTATCCTTTGGGTTAAATATTATCTTGTTAAAGCTTTCAATTGGTTACAAATGTCTTTTTGTTTGTCCCCCAGGATACTATGGGGATGGCCTAAATGCCATCATTGTGTTTGCCGCTTGTTTTCTGCCAGACAGCAGTCGGGCGGATTACCACTATGTCATGGAAAATCTTTTCCTGTGAGTGATACTTCCAACAAAGTGCTTTGAGTTAATGTCTGTGGGTATGCATGGCAGATCAGCATCTTTAATAAAAGGGAATAGCAGAAACCGGTTTGGCTCAGTGGATAGAGCATCAGCCTGCGGACTGAAAGGTCCCAGTTCGATTCCGATCAAGGGCATGTACCTTGGTTGTGAACACGTCCCCAGTTGGGGGTGTGCAAGGGGCAGCTGATCGATGATTCTCTCTCATCAATGTTTCTAACTCTCTATCCCTCTCTCTTCCTCTCTGTAAAAAATCAATAAAAATAAAAAAAATTAAAAGGAAATAAATGATGTAGACTGTGCTAAGCCTTTGAGAAAAAGCCAATGAAATCTCTGTCTAGGAACATTGCTCAAGAGACTAAAACCTTTAAAGTCACTCCTGTCAGTAGAATGAATGGATTGAAAACAAACACAGCTCGGCCTGCATTTTAAAATGCTGTAACATTTCCTCTAGGTGAAGTGTTAATATTTGTTCCCCGATAACATGTTCTTAGTCAATGGATGAGGACCTGGCTTCATTTAGGTCTGCCCTTATTTAATCTGGGTTGCCGTTACTGTATGATAACACTGTTGACATTTTTGAAAGTTGGGTTTCTTACCCACAGGTATTTTTAGTCTACCTGCATTAAAAAAAAAAAAAAAGGCAACTGTATATTTAAATGAACAGTACTCACTCTCAGAAATGATGTTAGGTAACTGCATTCTTCTCCAGGTGAAGAGGTAATATGCACAGCCATTCTCAAATGTTATACACACTGTCATTTCAATGTTATCTAATTATGGTGTCGAAGATGTAAAGTATTTCATGTGGGAACTGAAAACACTCCTCTTCCTTTCTGTGATCAGATATGTAATAAGTACTTTAGAGTTGATGGTAGCTGAAGATTATATGATTGTGTACTTGAATGGTGCAACTCCAAGACGGAAGATGCCAGGGCTGGGCTGGATGAAGAAATGCTACCAGATGATTGACAGACGGTAGGTGGGCTCCATTATTTAATCCCTAGTTTTATTTTCTCAATAATTCCTATTTCTAACTCCCTCTTAGTCTACCAAAATGCAATTATTTAGGAACATTGAGTTATGCATAGTTGAGATAATAAATGATAACATATTAATCAAAGTGTCACTTGGTGCCCCAAGCAAATCCTCCCCAGATTTTGTTAAATGTTGTAGCGTCAGACCTAATGACCAAACTGTGCTTTAAACTATGCATGTTATTGCCACATCAAGGTGCAATGTGAGCTGGTAAACCAGCATCCATCATTTTCTACCGGTGCCATGTGATCTTGATGCTATTTATATACATTGAGACTATTGTGATTTTGGAAAATGTAGAGCTCTTATTTCAGTATTCACCGTTAATTCATGTTAACCACTTGCCATATGGTGCCTTTGGGTGCCCCTTCTTCAAGATACTTTCCTTTTTTTTGTATTGGTTTTAATAGAACAAAGCACATTATTGCCATGTACAGAAAACTGTCATAATAAACAAACCAGTTTATGATATCTGTGATGGGTATGGCATCCACTTAGGTGTGGCTCCTTACATAACAGCATGTGAGTGCCCTGTTACAGTAACTAAAATTCATTTAATGATTCAAACATTCGTAAAGTAGCATTACTAACGCTGAAAAATGTGCCTGAAAATCAAGAATCTTGAAATGGTAACCTGCAGGCCAAACAACCACTTGATATATGGTTCCTGTTTTCACTGTATATAAGAAGACTCCAAGAAAGCTCAGAGATCAAATAAATTAAGTTGCTTGTAAAAGTGCACTTTTCAAAACAGTAAAGATAATGCTGACAAAAATGAAAAGCAATTGTTAAGCAAAAATATGCCATGATGGGTATAGATTTACGGACTCTGTGACTACAACCACTTCAGCTTACATTTATTCTGAGAAAATAAGGCTTGAGTCACAAGTTTCAGATTACATGTCAAAAAACATTTTTTTAAATTAATTATGACTATTCTACACTTTCCCTATTGGTAATAGCAACTTGCCTAGAACTCTGTGTATATGTGTATATATTCTTATTTGGGAACATGCTTCCTGTTTTAATTCCCACTAAAAATGGGTTATGAGTAACTGTTTTTCCTTTTTCAAACTAGGTTGCGAAAAAATTTGAAATCCTTCATCATTGTTCATCCATCTTGGTTCATCAGAACACTCCTTGCAGTGACACGACCTTTTATAAGGTTTGATTATTATTATAGTAAAAGTAAAAGCATTATTAGTAGATTTTTAAAAATGTATTAATTGACCTATAAATAAGAATTCATAAACTAAGAGGGTATATAGGAAGATATTTGACTCTGCCTTTCCTGGAAAGATACATTAGACTCCATTGAGAGGTGCTAATTAAGAGTGAGCATCTATAATAATAAAAGGATAATATGCTAGTTAGACCAGACATCTTCCAGATGTCATTTCTGATGAAGGCGGAGCAGAGGGAAGCCAGCCCAGGTCCCGGGTACTTGCTGGCGGCTGGAGGGGTAAGCCCAGGTCCGGGTGTTGGAAGGAATCCGGTGCCAGAAGCCAGGGGAAGGAAGGCCTACTCTTGCATAAATTTTTGTGCATCGGGCCTCTAGTTATTTCATAATGACTGTTTCACCAATTATTATAAGCATGATCTCTATGTGGGTTGCTGTAAACATAAAAGATAAAGGGGTCGGTTTCCATGTCACTTTACAAAAAGGAATAGACAATACTTTTAAAGTGATATATGGTATTTTGTAGAGAATAGAAAATACAAAATAACATGACAATAGAAAATAAAGACAAAAACAAAGGACAGAAGTGGGAGCCATGACTTAATTGTTCTATTTTTGCTGAACAGATATCATGTGGTAAAGAGCCTGGGTAGCCTTGTTGACAGCTGTTTAAATCTCCCACAAGGATTCTCTGTTTCCTGCTGGTTCATTCAGTGAATATTTATTCATCATTTATGTTGTGTCACATGCTATATACCCTTACATTTTGGTACTACAAAGAAAAGTAAGAAAGATGTCATAAATTAGAAAGACTTGGAACAGCTAAATGAAGGGGACAGTATGCATTTTCTAGAGAACTTTAAAAATATAATAAAATAAAATCTTGTGTAACATAGGGATACAGATTAGATAAACTGACATTTTTCTACCTCAGAGTTATTAATGAATCCCTAAGCAAAATTCTGCTAACCTTACTTCTAGAGAAAAAAATTTGAGGTTAAAATCCTCTCCCCTCCCCCTTTTTAACATAAATTTTACTGTGCCTTCCAAATTCTACCTTTTTTGCTCTGTGTTCACTTATAATTATTTAACATTCCCATTTTCTACTTATGACAATTGAGTGGCATGATTCAACCTAATTTTCCTCTGACAAGGTTAGCTCTTTACTATGCCATGTCAAATTGCCTTAAAAATAACATGAAATATTTAAAGTATACAAAGAAACATTTATTTTAATAATAGCAGAAAATACTTTGACAAGGAGTAGGAATTCATGTACAGTGAATAGCTTATAAAAAGTTTAATGTGTAAAAGAGTAAGTATTAGAACTGGTATTGATTTATTGATTTTTAATAATTCAGTCTTTATATTTATAACACAAATGTTTCTTATTGATAAATCACAAAATCTTTATTACTATAAAAATATTGGAAATGCTTCAAATTCAACATTATTTATTGAAGGAAGTTTCAGTACAATAATAATTACAACAATAATAGCGAATAGTGTTGTAATGAATTACATATAATAATGGCTTACATTTATTGATGGTTATGTGCATTATTTCATTTCATCCTCATAACAGTCTTCTGAAGGAAGTGCTATTTATTATTTTCGTGATACAGGAAAAAACCCTGAGGATCAGTGAGGTCAAACAACTTTTCTAAAGCAGGAGTCAGCAAACCCACTATGTAAGGGATCAGAGAGTAAATATGATAGGTTTTGTGGGCCGTACCGCCTCAGTCACAAGAACCTATCTCCACCATTGTGGGGCAGAAGCAGCCACAGACAATATATAAACAATGAGAATGGCTGTGTTTCAATAAGACTTGAATACTGAAACTGAATACTAAAATTGAATTTTCTAAATATTTTACATCACAAAATATTCTTGTTTTTGATATTTTTTCTACAATTTATAAAACATAAAGTGCATTCAGAGCTCAAAAACTGTAAAAAGCAGTTAACAAGTTGTCTGTGGCCTGTGGGCTGCAGTTTGTCAACCCCAGGTCGAATGTAACATAGAAGTGAAACTCAGGCTTTGAACCCAATTGTCGGCCTAATTCTAAAGACCACACACTTGTACTTACACATTATATTTACAGCTCTGTCATGTAAGATCCTCTTTTAATATCCCCCTTCTGAATCAATTCACATCAGTGTAACCAACATTTACACCTGAAGAAGAGGCCACTTAAATGTATTATGGGCCTGTTTTATAGGTTGTTGGTAGTGTGTGTGTTCACCCAAGTCTTAGCAGGGCTAGAAATGACTGTATGGAGAGGAAGGTGGTTCACAAGGTATAGCCCGTGGCCCAAGGTCAAAACTGCAAGTAAAATGCTAAAGGTAGCTACTATGAGAGAGCTATATGACCAATTGCATTTTAAGAATGAATAGTCTGTTGTGCCAAGCACTGGGCTAGGTGCTGGAGACTGATGAATTAAATAGCTCAATTACTGTCCTTAAAGAGGGCAAAGCAGACAAAGCACACAATAAACAATTAAAGCACAAAGAGGCTGATGACTCAAGGGGAGGGGGAGTTCTGTGGTCACAGGTGGAGAGTAAAGGCTGATAATCCGCATTGAGAGAGGAGCTTTCCAGAAGAATGAGCCTTCAAGGTGAGTTTTAAAAAACACACACATTCTTATTGATTTCATAGAGAAAGGGATAGGGAGAGAGAGAGAAACATCAATGATGAGAGAAAATCTGATCGGCTGGCTGCTTCCTTGCGCACTCCACACTGGGTGGGGATCAAGCCTGCAACCCGAGCATGCGCCCTGACTGGGAATCAAAACATGACCTCCTGGTTCATAGGTTGACACTCAACCACTGAGCCATGCTGGCTGGGCAAGGTGAATTTTGACAAACTAATAGGATTGGCTCGCTAAAACCAGGTAGAGGAAATAGCAGGTACAGATATACCAAGAAGGAGAGGAGGTGGCATGCTTAGAGAACTGTAACACTGGAGATGGAGGTTTCCCCTTGTGTGCCTACCTCCTCCCACTCATTCCATTCACTCTGCCTTTTATCAAAACCTCAATCTAGCACAAAAACCTGGAGGAAGGAAGAGGTCCAGTGTAGCATGTCATTGGTAGTGTGCGTTCTCCCAAGACTCATCAGGAGGGCTAGAAGTGACTGTATGGGGAGGAAGTTGCTCACAAGGCACAGCCACTGATCCAGGGTCAAAACTGCAAGTAAAATGGAAAGATAGATGTATAGAGACATGACCTTGAGAAGCTTCCTGCTAGAATGCACAGTAGTTGAAACAGAAGGAAGTACATTTGGCAGGCAGCTCAGCACAATCCCAGTAGACTCGGGGAGGACCTTTTAATTTGAAACCATCTGAGAAAATTCAGTGCTCACTCAAGTTCCTGTTCAAGTGGAATAATAATGAATTTTTAAAATTAGTTTGCAATTACACCAGTAATAGAGACATGCCCCTTTATAAAACATCTAATCATTTAGATGGAAGTGATTTGTAATTGAACCCCCATCATTGGAACCGTTGTTTTTTTTTTAACTTTGGTTCATCTGGCATGAACTTTCAGACTAAAACTTTAGAGAGAAAAAAGTAAAAATACTTAAAATATAACTAAAACTAAAAAAAAAAAGAAAAGAAAAGAAAAGAAGAAGAATAAAATGACAAGATTTTTGTTTGCTAAAAATAAATAAGCAAACAAACCATAAACCAGCGCAGAGTGGCAGGAACCATGGGAGGTCATGTGATGTGTGGTCCGGAGCGTAAGTCCAGGCTCTGCCACTTACTGATGGTGAGTGCTTACCTCCCTATGCCTCGGTTACCTTATCTTTCAACAGAGAATAATGAGAGTGGCTGCTGCACTAGCCTGTACTAAGAAATAAATGAGATAATTTATATAAACCACTTAGTGTCTAGCACATGGTAACTACTCAGTAATGTATCCTTTCTTCTCAGGAGAGCGCTGGGACAAGGTATTAAATATATCATGACTTTCAAAGCGAGGCAGTGACCTTAGGCAGGATGAAGGAGCAATTAATCATGATTTTTCTTTCCTTCCTTTTTTTTTTTTTAGTTCAAAATTCAGCAGTAAAATTAAATATGTCAGCAGCTTATCAGAGCTCAGTGGGCTGATCCCAATGGATTGCGTCCAGATTCCAGAGAGCATCATCAAGTAAGTCCTGATGGTTCTGAAGATTCGGTAAGAAATATTGCATGTTTGGAAAAGGAGATTGGAAAACAACTCATTTCTTCAATAGTGGGGAAATGGCCTTATCTTATGGTTAAAACCAATATTAAATATTCTCCAGTAAAATATATAGCTTAGGACTAAAGATTACTGTTCTTTTAGATCCCTTTTCACATAATATTCTTTCGGAAGTATTGACTAGTGCTTGTTTTCACTCTGAATTTTGCTCTTATTTTTGGAGAAAGCATACATTTAACACAATCAGCACGTCTGTTACTTGTGTCTCCCCCTCCACACAGACACAATTGGGTATGAGCAAAGCTCGGATTTCTTTATTACCTTATATAAAGTTATTTGTCCTCATGATCCTAGGGAAAGAAGGGGGAAGGAAAAGTAACCTTTCTCTGTTTTCTTCTGAATCCTTTTCCTTCATGGTTCCCTTCAGGTGAAAAATAAGGCTGAGTGGTGAGTGGTAGTCAGGGTCCGTTTCTGACTCAGCTCAGGGTAATTAAGGCACCAGCACTGGTGCTGAAGGCCACGGGGTGGTGCTACAAAAATAGGAGTATAAGTCAACTAGTCAACCACTTGGAGTTGGGACTCAAAAACACAGACACAGGAGAGTGAACACTCCTCTTGTCTCATGGTTGCAAAGAACCATTGCTTTCTGTGAATTGTGTTTTTTTTCACTGTGTCTAATTCCCTGTTTTTTACTTGAATCGAATTGAGAGGAAAGTAGCCATCAGCTCAAAGAAAACAGACAAGGATACCCCATCTTTCTTAAGAAGATGGATAAGAAAATGGACTTTCCAATCTGGGCACCCCCATAAAAAAAAGTAGTCCTCATTTAAAAAAATAAAAAGGCATAGAAACTGAAAGGGAAGGATTCTTCCTTAGTGGTACCTGTGCCGTGCGGCGCACGGAAGTGTTTCTGTATCAGTTACAGATATGGGAAGACAGGTCAATAGGGAAGTTGTTCGTGCAGAGTATAAGTAGGAACAAGGAAAGATGGAACTAGAATAGGTTTGGCTGGCATCCAAGTTCCTGAGCCCTTTGCTAGTACTTTTCTTCTCCTCCTTTAATGTATCCATTCAAAGGCAAAGTTCAGGAGCAGATGCATTTGATATCCCTACATCCCAGCATCAGGCAAGAACCCAGGGTACTGACTGGGCTTAGAGTAGCCATTAGCTCAGCTGAATCAAGCAGAGTGTTCATAAGTCCCAGCAATGGCTCTCATCTCCTTTAGCCTCTAAGATTCCCACAACCAGCACAGTCACAGCTCCAGCCTTCTGCTTCAAAATGGTGCATCCCATCTCAAAAATCAACTCCTACTCTTTAAATTAAAAGAAAGTACTGGAGCATTCGCTTCCTATAATACTGTCTCTATTTGTAAAAAAAAAAAAAAATGACAAGGACACCCTCTTTTCACGTGGGAGTGAGCATTGTCCACACTCTAGGCAAATATGGAAATGCTTCTTTGGGGTAGCTGTTGGAAAAAGATGAGAGAATGGGCTTTAGAAGCTTAACATTAGATGTGAATCTTCCTGCCTGCCTCTAAGTGTCTCTGAGACTTCAAGCAACATGTGAAAACTCTCTGCGTCTCAACCTCAGCCTCAGGGTACTGGAGAAGTGAGGTGCAGGTCATGAGGTGGCCCTGAGGACTGAATGAAAACAAAGTACACAAAGCATTCAGAAAGCATCCTGGCACGAAGTTGGTGACCCAGAATGTTATTTATTATAACCATGTTGCTTTTAGAAACTCGCTGCCATATGAGAAACCTTAGTTGAAAAGTTAAACATGCCCTTTTCATTCATTTACACACATCCATTTCCAAAGACTCCATTAAAAGTCATTTTAGGAGTAAGGGTTCCATTTGGAAAGATTTTTTTCTAGAGAAAGAAATTTACAACCACTCATGTCCTCCTTGTGTATCCATGTTATCTCCTGTCTTCCATAACCCGTCTCCTCTGGTCTGCTTTTCTGCCATTTTTGTTACTGGCCTTCATTGCCTCATTTTCATGTTATGCCATTTTCAAATTGATACAAGCCATAGCTCCATCCTATCACTTCACAACACTCAGAGTATCTGATCTCAGCCAATCACAGCAGCGATATTCAGCTGGAATGGAGCTTGTCATCAAAGGGCTTCAATAAAAGAAGCACTTGCCTAATCTGGAATCAATCTTCTAGTCACTGATTATAGTCAATTCTTGTTATTTGCTGGGGTGATGCTCTAGAACACCAAAGAGCAAATACTTAGCTGTTGTTTCTAGAGGAAGTATAGGGTTAGGTTCCTTTGAGCCTCTGGTCACATTTTCATCAACCGATCAATATATAACCTTGTTTTATGTGTTTCTGTTTAAAGACACCTTGCTAGATATCTATTGCTGATTAATTATTATTGAACTCATGGCCAACAACACTAAAGAACAAAGTTTATCTAACACACACATATTCCCTGTAAGGTACAACCCAGCCTTCTTGTGCTTGGGATCACTACACAGAATTTTGTCACTATGTTTGGGGGCCATTTTAAATGGCAAAATACCAACAAAAAGCAAAACAAACAAACCCCAAACCATGGCACTAAATAGATGGCAAAAAGGACACGTGTTTAGGGCATGAGAGCTGAAACAAGAAGGCAGAGCTCACCTGTCCCACATCAACTGGGCATGTGCACATCAGGTGGTGCACGTTTCCTGCCACTCTAAGGACATCCACAAGTGATTGTGAAAGTGCCACAGGTCTTGAGTTGGGGTTTTCAAACAAAGGTTAGCAAATAGGTGAATTTGCAAACAAAAATCTGTAAATAATGAGGATTGGCTGTCTAATATTAGAAATCCTAAATCATTGATTATATCTAATTAAAATAAGATCACGTCCCAAAATGCAATGGGATTATTATTTGGGTAGGCTTTTTCTCTCATGTTCTGACTGTTCTTTAAAACATTGACCTGTCTTTTCGTTTTCATCCGTTGGCTCATTTTCCTCATTGCGTCCATTTTTTATCTCATAAGGTACGATGAAGAGAAATCTCATAAGAGAAGTGTGAGGTAAAAAATCTCTTGATCTACAAGTCATGCTGGACCCTCTGTGTGTGTGCACCCAGTGTCTTACTCATGGGTGACCTCAACATGCTGCCAGAGCCCTTGCATCGGTCCCTGGTGTATACCATCCTCAGTCTTTGTCTTGTGTGTAAAGCTGTTGAGGTCAACCTAATTTGCAACTGAAACCTACTACACAGATAAATCCCTGGCGTGGCCCAAGCTGCAAGCTAACTTTAACTGTACTCAACAGACTGATGTGATGTTTTCAGCTTTATTCAGCCAGCATGTTTCCGATCTCCTTGCAACTTTCATATCCACCATTATGAAGGATTTTTTGCAAAGTAAACATATGTAAACACTGAATGGGAGGAAACGACACCATATTTAATTGAAGGATTGTCTCTCAGGGCCTCCTGGGACAATTTTTGAAAGCAAATCCGCTCCACTTACGTTTGGCTCTGCTTTGCTGGGTGACTGTCTCACGCTCTGCTTGCTTTTTTTCTTTGTTTTATTTTCTACACTGATGCTTTTTGCTCATGCAGACTGGATGAAGAACTGAGGGAAGCATCAGAAGCAACTAAGTAAGACCTGGTTTTCATTCAGCAGCTGGCGTGGTGTTGGCTTGCATTTCAGGAATGAATTGGGAGAGCCTGCATGCCGGGTGTTGTGTTTTTTGCATCCTGATAATAACGCTGCACTTTAGAAGTTCCCTTTGTTTATGATAGATGAGGTTGCAGTTATTTGTACTATAGCCTATTTGCCCACAGAATCTTGGGTTATCATGAAGAATGTACTTGTTACTGTTGTTTAATTTTTAAAAAAATGCACATGCAATTTTATGCTCCACAGCAAAAGAACACATCACAGGTACACACACATACACTATAATAAAAGTGTAATATGCTAATGAGACTGGATGACCTTCTGGGGCTGTGAAGGAAACCTGAATCCCAGGTGCCAGAGGGAAGCTGGTGCTGGCAACTGGGGGAAGGAAGGCCTACTCTTGCATGAATTTCGTGCATTGGGCCTCTAGTGTATATATATAACACATATACTATAACGATCATCTGGATGTTATACTGGGTCAACAAAACCTTACTAATGGAGAGAAATGATTACAAGTGGAAATTATTTTTATGACTTTCCAATACTATTTTCCAACACCTTATTTCAGTGATTCTCAACCTTTCTAATGCTGCGACCCTTTAATACAGTTCCTCATGTTGTGGTGACCCCCAACTATATAATTTTATATAATTATTTAACATAAATAATTATTTAATATAAATAATTTAATATAAATAAAAATAAATATATATTTATATAATTTTATGGTTGGGGGTCACCACAGCATGAGGAACTGTATTAAAGGGTCATGGCATTAGAAAGGTTGAGAACCACTGCCTTATTTAGGGACTTGGAAATATTGCTTAATCAACAGCTTTTGAGCTGTTTGGCTAAACAGGGGGGGGGGGGGGAGAATCATTGCTCACTAACGTTAAAGTATAATTTTCAAAAAGGCAAAATCACAACTTTAACACAAATATAAAATGAATTCAAGCCAGTGGTTTTATTTAACTAATTACATAATGAAGGAACCAGCAAGGTGTTAAAAACAGCTCAAAGAGCATTTCTGAAGCTAGAGATCAATAGGCGATTTATAAAGGAATGTTAGGATAAGATTGTTGGTTTAGGTACAAAACTGATTAATGTTCAGCAGGGCAATAAACAACCTTAGGGTTATCTTTTATGTTGGACAAACATTATTTGCGTCTCTGCTCAACAAAATCCTAAAAGTTAACCTCTGGTCCTAAGAGTTGTAAAACAGTCCTTCAGTCCACTCAGCTGCTTTGAAAGAATATCCAGTAATTTCCTTATTTATTTCAAAATTACAAATAATTTTTCTGACACTATATGTTAAATGGAGACAAGTACTATTTGTCATGTTTGCTGTGTTTCTCTATTTCAAATGTTGCTTACACTGTTAATTTTCATGACCAGTTCCCATTTTAATAGACATTGCAAATGCAGAAAATCTGGACAATGTGCAAACAGCTACAAATTCTGTATAAATAAAATCTTAATTAGTGGCGTTTTTCTGCAGAGATGTAAATGCTAATTCCTCATGAAAACAATCCATTTAGATTTTTTTCCTATGGCCCATTTTTATTGCGTGTAATCTGTAGAATTATTGCCCTCTAGTGTGAATCTTTTGGGTTAAAAATTCAAGGAAAGTTTTTTGCTTTAGGAAGTTTAGCATTAGGGTTGTTTACTGGTACAACATTTCCATCCTCTAGTTTTCTTTTAACATAACTAACATCCAGTTAGACTAACAATATTCAAAATTATGTAAATTTTTACTCTAACAAATTCTTCTTAGGCTCTAACTCAACTGTTAAAAACAAGAAGTCCTGGAAGGAAGATATTAGGAATCAAGGAACCAAATGTCAGTGTAATGTAAAGCATTCATTGATACTCAAATTGCATTATGACATGAGATTCCCCAGAGAGAGAAACAGTAATGAGTTTCTCTTTAAGGTTCTTTTTTAAAAAAAACAAAACAAAACAAAACAAAACATGTTTTTATTGATTTCAGAGAGGAAGAGATAGGGAGAGAGAGAGAGAGACAGAAACATCAGTGTTGAGATAGAATCATTGATCACCCTGCCTCCTACATGCCCTCCACTGGGGATTGAGCCCACAACCTGGGCATGTGCCCTGACCAGGAATTGAACTGTGACCTCTTGGTTCACACATAGGTCAACAGTCAACACTGAGCCACACCGGTCAGGCTAAGATTCTCTTTTTTTAAGATTAACATATTTATGAAATTAGAAAGTTGTTTCCAAGACAAAAAATGGGTGGAACTGACACCAATAACTTTCCAGCCAAACCCATTAGAAAGTCAGATTGGCACGTTTTTTCACTAGTACCATGTAATCTTGCCTCTTTCAGTAGACTTTTTTCCCCATCCATATTTTTCCTCTTCCTGCATAGCTACCATTGAGAAACAGTCATCATATTTGGTTTAATTGTGCAGCTTTCTTTCTTTTTTTTTCTTTTCTTTTTTTTTCTCAACCCCTTTCTTTTGTTCTCTTTTCTGTCCCCACATCTCCGCCTCCCCAGTTTTCTAAATGGTCTCAGGTCGTGCTGATATGTCTTAATCTTCCTAAAAGAAGCACCAAGCTCATCCCCAATACATAGTAGATGCTCAGTAAATTTTTGCTGCATAAATGATGAATATGCATAAGATTAAGATGGATCCTGTGAAGCAGTGGTTCTCAGACTTTACTGTGCCTCAGAATAACCCGGAGCACTTGCTGAAACACCGCCTCCTGTGCCTCTCAGCAAAGCTTCTGATTTAGCACGCTAGAGAGCCCGTATTTCTAGCAGTTCCCATTGATGCTGGTCTCAGGACCTTGCTTTGAGAATCACCACTTTAAAGTAATTGGCCACATAAAAATAATTAGATTTGTCTTAGCAGGGGAGATCTATGCTCTAACTTTGGAATCAGTAGCTAAGCCGCCTGTCTGAATTCTCCTCCGACTGACTCTCCTTTCAATGGTGACATGACACGTTATGAGAAATGGAAATATATTTGCACATTTGAAAATGTTCAAGGAGAAAGAATTTTACTCTGCTGATCCCACTGATGATTGACATGCCTCTGCATCCTACCATTCTGGCAAAACAATTACATCTTCTCAACAGCCTTTCCGTCTGTAAGGTGTCCCCCAGATCCTTGGACAGACTGTGCATGGTGATTTGGTTCAGAAAACACAGACACTGCAGATCTGCGGTGAGTCTAGAAGCCAGAGAATCCCAGGTTCTTTCTAATAACAGACAAATGCACCCTGACGTTCTACATGACCGTCTTTATCAGAAAGCTGCAGGCTGGCTCTAACCAAAGGCAAACATGTGCCCTGCCAGGGAACAAAACCTACTGTCTCTTGTTTTGCTTTACTCCCACCTGTGTTTTCAAACATTCATCCTCTCTCCACATACACACACCGCCACCAGCACCTCTCCCTGCCGTTCAGAAGGTTATTTCTTCAGCCTGCCTTATTTTTTTTTTTTTTAACTTTACATCTGTGCAGAAAAGAAAATGCTTTTGAAAGTTACATTGTAGCTGAAACCGGTTTGGCTCAGTGGATAAGAGCATCAGCCTGCGGACTGAAGGGTCCCTGGTTTGATTCTAGTCAAGGGCATGTACCTTGGTTGCCGGCACATCCCCAGTAGGAGGCGTGCAAGAGGTAGCTGATGGATGACTCTCATTGATGTTTCTGACTCTCCCTTCCTCTCTGTAAAAAATAAATAAAATATATATTTTTTTAAAAAAGAAAATAAAGTTACATTGTATATAGGGAGCCATTCTTAGGTTGAAATGGTGCAAAATCCACCTGCTGTCTTTAGAGTGACAATTTCCACTGGATGGCAAATTGCTGTTTTCTTTGGAAGAAGTATGCGAAGTTAAAAACCAGAAAAGCTAGCGATGGAAGATTTCCCTTGCTTGATTCCAGTCCAGCTTTGCTAGGTTTTTCTAGCACACTGTCAACACTTGCCTGATTGTCCTTGTTCATGAGAGTTGCTAAATATACTCCATGAAAATACCAGACATCAGAGAGAAGGGTGGGGAGAGGGTGAGGGAAATCCCTCTTCCCTTCCCCAGGAGAGATAGCCTTTGGACTTTCACATTGATCACCATGCCTCTTACTTGCAAATAGATATATAAATTTAGGAAATTATTCACATTATAAAAGGAATTCTCACATGTAATTCTCACATAGAATCCCTGTAACGAGTGTTTGTTTGCCAACAATAAAAAAGTCAATAGAGGAGGAAAAGTAAAAATTCGCATCGGAAATGAATAGAAAGCAAATCTAAAATTTGCTTAACAGAGAAATCACACCAATATGAAATATCAAAAGCAGCCAATATTACACCAAGAAAAGCATAAACACATTCACACGCCATAGCATGACTTTTATTTCATGATTCCATAGGGTTACATTCTTTCTGGACATATTCCGTTCTGGTTATTGTTGGGATTCACTTGTCTTATCTGAACACAGCTCAGCTGTATGGTAGCAAGAGTCTGAAACAAGGACAAGAAAAGCTGACACTAGCATTTTTCCTTTCAATGTCTTGGAAAATCCTCATTCTTGTGAAAATAGAAAGTTAAGTGTTATATGTAAATGAAAGTAAGCTGCTTGAGAGGGATTGTTCTTTGTTTATAAAACATTATGTTATTTGGACTATAAATAAAAATTTGCAATATATTCCCAGAATAAGCTAGATTGAAAAAAATCAGGAGAGAAAATGACAAGGACAGAAGAGCCCACTTGAAGGTGTTTGGAGTTTTCAGTCTTCTTTATATGTTTCTCAATGATGGGCAATCACTATATTTCATAACTGACAGTAAAAGAATCACTGCTTAATTGCATCATTGCAGGTGTAGTTATGTTCAATATTAGCAATGGGACAACATTAAGCAGTTTAAAATGTCCAAGTCTATTGTGCTTGCAAAGTGTAACAGTGGAGAAAATGTTTACTGCTTTCTGTTTTTTTCCTTGCTCTCAGAACTAGCTGCCTTTACAATGATCCAGAACTGTCTTCTATGGAGAAGGAGTAAGAATTCACCGTCAGTAACAGCTCTGTGGTTACTCGCAGTAGTGTATGGCTGGGCTCTGAAAGATACAGATATTTTGAGGACTGGGTAAACCTCGTTCAGATGTTCAGCGTTCATGTTCTCCACTCCTGAAATTAGAAACTAAAAATGGACTATGCCCTCTTAACCCGTCTCATTGGTCACCATTATATTCCTTTTAGACAGCCAACGTTTAGATGTAACATCCTATTTTTCCAATGCACACATTAGGAGAAAATGAATTTAGAGCTAAATGTAAGAGCATTTGGGTGAGAGGAGCGCAAGTCTGCTTTCTGAATTAACATCACCCACTTTAATTAGTGAAAGTTGGGATTTCCATTTAAACTTAATATTTTGGTACATGGGAGAGAACTGTTTTTGTTGGTTTGTTTGGACATTTCCAAGAGGCAATTGAGTCTGGATGGGGCTGGAGGAATGATCTAGTCCAGTGGTTGGCAAATCATTAGTCAACAGAGCCAAGTATCAACAGTACAACGATTGAAATTTCTTTTGAGACCCAAATTTTTTAAACTTAAACTTCTTCTAACGCCACTTCTTCAAAATAGACTCGCCCAGGCCGTGGTATTTTGTGGAAGAGCCACACTCAAGGGGCCAAAGAGCCGCATGTGGCTTGCTAGCCGCAGTTTGACGACCACTGAATTCTAGTCCCATCTAGTCCCATCCTGTGAGAGATAGAAATCAAACCTGTAGTGTGTTTTTACCACATGTCAGGCTCTGCAAAAAGCTTCACACACACTAGCTGATGTTTATCCTCAGAATAAGCCTTTGAGGTGCATTTTATATGTGAGAAAGAGCAGCCTAGGGAGCTTGTCTGACCAGCCCGATGTCTTCCAGTCGTAAAGTAGCCCAGAGCTGGGACTGGAATCTGCAGTGCAGTCCCAGTGACGGTGGTTTTGAAATCTCAGGGAAGTGGTCTTCATGCTGGAATGGGTGTGCAAACTCTGACCTAACCAAAGACTAGCGAGGACAAATTTAGGCGCCTAAGAAAATAGTTCATTATTGGCCTGTTTCAGGGAACGAACTGAGGTCACCACCATGCTCTCAGAGGGAACCTGGCCACCCAGGGAGGGGCTGCTAACCTGGTTTTGAGTTGTGGAGAATTTAACATTGCCCTTCCCCCAATCCAGAAGGAGGGGCAAACAGCAGATTTAAATGTGTTAGCTATCATCATGTTTTGTTTTCTTTGGTCCTCCTTTCCTTCGAGGTCACAAGGGAAGTTATAGGATCACGGGAGCAATATTTTCTGCAGTTGCCATGGTGACCTTACAGTTTAAGGAAGTTTATGCACACAAAAATCCACAGGAAAGGTCCCGGCTGAAAAGCACCCAAGAATAAAAGCTGTCAAGGGACTTTTGAAATCACGCAACTATTTTTCTTTTTAAAGTTTACACTTATCCCACACCTTTGAGATGAAGACAACTGCTTCAAGCTAATTGCCACACAGAAATTCTGCAAAGCAAATATATTTGTCCCTTGGCCCACCAGGTTATTTTTCCCAAATCTGGCCTTTTTCTGCAAAACACCCCCCCCCCAGAGCAGAGTCCTGCACCCAGAGTTAATGAGCTGTGTGGACAGGCTGTCACTCCCTGGCCTATGGCTGCTACATCTGCGGGCATACCCACTCCTTTGTCTGCCTGGTCTGTTTTGTTCCTCATTTGTTTATAGTCCCTTTTGGTTTGGGGAGAGAGCTTCTTGTTTGGGTTTCTTCCAGGGCTGGACATGGGAAAGGAAGGGATGCTGCAAATGACTGATGTTACTTCCTGCTTCTCAGAACAGTTCTCCATGCTTCCCTGTTCTTCAGCCCTTTCTTGCCAAGCCCTTAGGAGGCACGTGGTCCTGGTGCAGACTGGGATCTGGGATGAGGGGCAAGAGTGGCTAAGACTTCTCCGTACTGACTTCCAGCCCTGGATTTCTGCCTTTCGTCAATATTAGAATAAGGGGCTTCATTTTCCGTTGGTACCTGAGTGGAAGCATTTTACACCTTCTAGCACTGAATGGGTACACTGCAAAATGGGCAAAGGCTCTTCCAAGGAACTCAGGCTGTAAATAAGATGAGGTGTGTCCTGATTCTATAGTGGCGACTCATTTCCCTCAGAGCGAGAAGGGAGGCGATGCCTGACTTCCTCCTCTTCCTATCTAAACACAGACTTTTTTTTTTTTTTAATATATTATTGAACACTGTTATTAGACATGTTGTAAGAAGCCTCATTTAAGGGTATGTATGGGGGGGGCAATGGTAAGATATGTACACAGATAATAATTTAATTTTTAAAAAGTTTTAAAAAATAAAAAAAAGAAGCCTCATTTAACACATTAGAAATAAAATGGCCTATAGGAAAATTGTCAGAAGGTTGCTAGTCTCACTGGAAAGTTATAGAAAACTAAGCCCATTTGCCAAATGTGAGGACTATTCCTTTCATATTTCAATTCTAATTAAATGTATGTGGGGGTTTTTGTTGTTATTTTTTTGTTTGGTTTTGTTTGGTTTTGTAAAAAGCATACCATTTCTCAAAGTAGCCCTAGGTGCTTGCCTCCCTCATTTTTAGGTTTGGATTTTATTTATTCAGATGTGTCCTAAAACTTGCAACATGCCTTTTTATATTTTTATATTTAAAATATTGTATATGATCCAGGGGATGTGCTTCTATTCGAGGAGACTGAAATTAGTAGCATTATTGGTAGCTAGATTAGCTCTACAAGAGAACTGTTGTCTCAAAAAACCTTAGGTGTGGTTTCCTGTATTTACTTAAAAATCGTTCACTTTTGACTGCCTCATAAACTGGGGAAATGGTTTTGTTGTTGTTGCTGTTGTTGCTGTTTATTTACCCAAAGCTGAAGGGATAAATTAAACCCTAGAAGGTTTACAAAAAAAGTCAGTATGAAAAATGAGGTGTTTAAAAATTTGAATCATAGCATAACTGGGTTGTTTTTTATTGTTTGATTTTTAAGATTTTATCAGGGGTCTAGACTCTAGAGGGTAAAACAAAGTGACTATGCACTTTAAACTTTGCAAGATAACTTCAAACATTCTGACCCACATTCCCAATTTTTACACAGTCTGCCCCAAATATTGGTTTAATATTCTCTTTGTCTTTGGGAGAAACTGAATTATCGCCATGTAAGGAAGAATAAAATCTGAATCATCAAATCAAACTTACTGCAGACTTCTGGTAATAACTGCAGCTGGGAAGTAGAATTTAAAATAAAAAATAGGATCAAGAAGGACCTGCTTTGTAAAAAGCATACTAAAAAAAAGATCTAGGGGTCATAGTGGATAACAGAACTCCATGGTAAAACTCTGCAGGTAAGAAAACAAGTCAGATCCTCAAGGGTATAAGAGAGATGAATATCCATGGTGATCTGACCTATCCTGGCAGTTAACATGTCTGGGTCTGAAAACTCCCCAAGGAGACAAGATTATTATTGATATAAGTAGAGTAATTAAGCAAACATGATTTTCCCATTTCAAAGACACCAAGCTATGGCAACTACTACTTCTACTACTACTACTACTAATCTATACTAGTACTACTAATAGACATTTACTATGTGTTCACTGGGCACAGTTGAAAACACTTTAGACTTAGGCAAGCTGTGAGAAATGATTCTTCTCTTTCACAGATTCAGAAATGAAACTTAGAGAAGGTAGGTAGCTTGGCCAAGGCCCTAGAACTAATAAGGGGTGGAATTGCTGAGGATGTTTCAAAGGAAAGATACTTCACTACCTTAAACTGGATGAGCAAGCAGTGTGGATCACGGATGGCTTTATTTGCAAAGCTGCCACAATGCGCACTGCTCAGAGGCTGCAACTTCCACAAGCAGAGTAACCCTGGCACTTCAGCCTCAGGAGGGCGGGTCTGAGTGAAATCTGCAGATATTTCCCATGGCCCTTTTCAGGGAATTAATTTTTTTCTTTTTTCGTGGCTGAAATTTCTCCTCTGTGTGTTTACTGAGTGTAGCTCTCTTCCCTGTAGGTACCAGAAAGTCATAATAGGTTTGTTACAGAATTTACCAGGCGATTGAAAAATACACAAAGAGTACTCAAATACAGGAAAAACCCATTTATTTCCAGTTGTACTAGTAGTACTGTGACTCAGGGGAGCCTGTTTCCAAATCCTGAGCAAACCAATATGGAGGAAGCTTTCCCTTTATACCCTTTGGTTTCTTTGTGCCCAAATCAAGATCAGACTTCCGGACCTTTCTCGGGCTTTGAAAAAAGTCCCAAATGTTGGAATGGGGCCGTGAGACCACACCTGAAGGCCTGGCCTGGTGCTAGCACTGATAACCCCGGAGGGTGGTATATGGTTCATGGTTTGTAATCTCTGTAAAATGGGAGTATTTAGGTAAACAGGTCTTGCAAGACCATATAATTAAGGAAGGGACAGTGACTATACGTGGCTAACAGGAATGTGCATTAGGGATACTGATTAACTAGGTACAGAGTCAGGCTGCTGGTCGCCCCCCCCCAAAAAAAATGTCTTATTCTCCTCATCATGGTCACTCAGAGGCCAAAGGAGAGACACAGTCGCCCGAGGACATTTGAGACTTATTCTCTAGATATTTGGGAGCCCACTAGACATTCTTAAAAACAAGCTTCTCTTAGGTTATAAGAATCCATCTAATTTAAGTAGGCTAACCCTTTTCAGGCAAATCCTTTGACACTAGAAAATGTGGGGGTTGGGTGTTGGTTTGTTTTTTATTTGCCATTGCTGTTTCATTGTCTGTACTTTCTGACTATCATTTATCACATGGTACTTATTTCAGGCAGATCATGTATTTGCCCTACAAGGAACAGTCATTTACTAAAAATCGGTAGATCCCTTATGTCCAAAGTGCAGTAACATTCTTCATAGTAACCAATTTAAGGAACAAGGCTGAACACGAGTCTTTTTCCTCCTTTGATCGCTTCAAAAGGTGTAAAATGCTTCCAGGCACAGTTTTGTAAAAATAAACAGGTTCCATCCTTTGTTTTACCTAATTTTTCAGTGTGAAAGACCTGCATGGTGTGTTTTCAGTAAGTCCTCTGATAAAAAAAAAGAAACAAACATATGCCACCCTAAATCATTGCTGAATGTTTCTCACTCCGTTTCTCATTTTTTTCTTCCTTTTTTTTTTTTTTTTCAAGCCTTGACCTGAAGTTAAAAGAGAAGCCCTAGTTGGCCGTGGCAGGATGAAGAGGATGCTTTTCTGCTTCGTGGTTCTGTTGAGACATATCTACCTGGAAGAGACAGGGCTGATGGTACTTTTCCCCCCTTTGCACTACCTGGTGCCGTTCTAAATTTCTAAGGGGGAAAACAGTAAGGGAATTTGTTTACTCTTAACATGTTTTATGAAATTGTGTGTATTTTCCTATTTTGCCAATTATGTGCCTCAAAGATTTTAGTTGAACCTTAGCAAGAAAGTAGGACCTTCCATTTTCATATTTTGTTAACCTGTGGTGCCGTGGTATTTCATCTCTTAGACTGGTATTGACCAATAAGATAACTTCAATGCACTGTTAATTGTAAGTGGATTTGCTTCCATAGATTAGCTCCGTGGTGATCATTTTAGGTTTAAAATACACTGGGCTCAACTCTCCCTGGAAATGCTGTCCCCAAGTAACTCCACTTTTAAAGTCCTAAACTTGTTTAACATAGCCAGAAACCAGAAATGAGTGAAACCACCCTCGCTTGGTCCTAGGTTCTTGTCCACATGAATGAATTCTCTCTAACTTCTCAATGGGAAGCCAGGCTTTCTAGTTCACATCAATTTTATTTTAGTGATCAAATTGGGCATCATGTTTCTTGCAAATTTGTTTTTTTAAAAAGCATTTCTCTGGTAAGTGTTGAAGACTTCTGCATGGAGAAGCTCAAGGATCATTGTCCACATTTTTGGTGGCTGTCTGTGGTCCAGGTCATAAACTTAATTCAAGATGCTCCACTTTAAGTGCCAAGGACTCGAGGGTAAGCTGGCCCACTTAAAAAGTCATTATTTGGTGTCATTCAGTGTCAGGCTGAATTTCTCTCATACCTTATAAAAAGTAATCTGCTTTGAAACACTCTAATCTGATCATAGGCTTAAAAATTAAATATGAGTATATACTATCATTTGCAAAATATCCCTTTATAATTTTCATATGTCCTTTAAAATACCAGTGTGATTTTGAATCTATGGACCTCTAAGCAGAAGATGACAAACTACAGCGCAGTGTAGCCACCACCTGTTTTCACCTGGCCTTCTGGTTAAGACTGCTTTTCATACTTCATGGTTGAAAACATTTTCTTACTATTTTTATGACACTTGAAAATTATTCAACTTTCAGTGTTCATGAATAATGTTTTACTGAAACACGACCACACAGATCTATTTATGAACTCTCTGCAGCTACTTTCATACTGTAACAGCAGAGCTGAGTAGTGGCAATGGACCCTGGAGCCTACAAAACCCCAAACACTTAAAATCTTGACAGAAAAGTTCACTGAGCCCTGCTCCAGCACATACATCCTTGGCCCTGCTCCCCCATTTGTATGTAGATATTTATTTCTCTAACAGAATGCACAAGGAAGACTTCAAATGAACTTATTCTTAAAAAAATAAAGTTTGGCAGAAAAATTCATGGCCAGCTGAAAAAAAGTTGTGTTTACATGCCCCTCAGCGAAGCCTGCTGAGGTTTTGGCTGTTTGCAGGTGTTGCTGAGGTCCTGATCTCACCCTGCGAACTATTCTTAGTCTCCAGCACCACCTATTACTAATTAGCTAGCAAAAATAAACATGAAGTGGAGAACGGGGTTCCACCATAATCTTAAGGTGGTCGCTACATCCAGGAGAGCTGTCCGTGACACTCTGAGCCCTGAATATTATGAGCTTTGAAATGCTGTGAAGTGGACTTTGCACAGGTGACTGAATTTCACTGATCTCATTTGCTTCGTGTTGGTCTCCCAGCTATGGTCTCCATACTTATGTGTTCCCCTCTTGGTTTCTCTCAGCTGAAGATCTTATTGAACTGTGTTCGTTGGGGTCTTCTCCCTCATCACATCGACTTGTCTTATAGAAAAAAAAACCTAGAGCATGCCTTCTCTCACAGCCCAGCGCCACCTTTGGGAGCCCAAAGAATGCCTCTCCCAGAACTTAGTGTTGACATAAGTACAGTGATCCAATATTCCGGTCGGTCCGCCCACTTATCATAGTTGCCCTGGCATAATTATTAATGATGCTTCCTTTTCCTTAGTTATGTCCCATTTTGGGAGATGAATTACATGGTCCCCCTAGCCACAAGAAGTAATGACGACTCCAGTGTTCAGCTTAATGGTGAAGCCTGCGGACATAGAGCTGTTGTTGATAGAGGAGGGCTTTTGTTATATTCAGCCAGACATGGCAACAATCTCACCATTCACATTTTCTTTGAACTGGTCCAGCCTTCTCATGGAAGACTACTCAGATGGCATTCTGTTTGAAGTTTAACCTTCCTACACGGAAATTACAAGCATCTTTTCCAATCAGTGATTTTACTTGGGCTGTTCTATGGGCTGTATAATCATTCTGGTAGTTAAGCATTTGCTACTTTATTGTCTTAGAGAGACAAATTAATTTCACTGCATGTGCTAGAGAAAAGCCACCATGTGAATTCAATCCAAATAAATAGAACCCTAGAAGAATCCTGAAGGATTAATCCCTAAAGCAGATAGGTATGCAGATGTAAACATTCACATCATTAGCTATCTAGATCTTGCATTCTGAGTATTCTTGCTTTGGTCCTGACTTCTGGGAACTGTATTTGCACTATTCTGCAGATTTGTAGTTAAGGGAACCAAGAGGCAAAAATATTTACTTCCCAAAGTGGCAACTGCTCTTTGCTTAGCTCCTTGATTAAGAGAAAGAACAGAAGTTCTCCCCAGAAGATACTGTCAAGGGGTGAGGGCAATAGCTGGGTGTAGAAGAAAACTCTGAAGTCTCTATTGAAGCCATACAGTGATTTGTGGGGTTATCTTTTAAGACATACTCCAAGATGCGTGAGGAAGTCACTACCCCAAGCCTTTGTGTTATTAAGATCCATTTTAAGTGTTCATTTATGGTACTGTGTTTGCAGCGCTTATCTAAATCACAATGCCTCAGTAGTTTGCTCCCTTAAACACATTTATGTGTGCACAAATTAATATTTTATATATTTAAAAGGTTTTCTACCATATATTGGATTGCTCAGAGTAAAGTATCTATTAGACTTTGTTTAGATAAATAATTAAATAAATTATCCTTAAATAGTATGGATTAATAATATAAAGATATGTAACAATACTATATGTAGAAACAGAGAGACTCTGTAAAACTGAGAAATAAAAGGTGATTCCACAAGTTGTGGCTTTCTTTCTTTGAGAAGGTGAGTCTTCTTCTAGCTTCACTGTGGGTCAGCCTTCTCCGGATGTCACTCCAGCTTGGCACTTGGTATTGAGGAGAGCATAAATTTTGGCTTTGTTGTTACCTAAATTTTATTCTTTTCACTTTTGCCTTCTATACCTCAGTGATAGAAGCTTCCAAAATGTGTGTTTATCCTCTGGGTGAGCCATGTCTCACGTTGTAAATGTCTCTTTGTTACATGGTTACTTGATTTTGTCAGTTGTTGTTGTTTTTTTGTTTTTGTTTTTTTTTTCTGGTCCCTTGCCTTTTCATGTCATATATTTATTTTAAATTAAAATGCATTAAGTAGCTTTCTTTTTTTTTAAATTTTATTTTACAACCTTAAGGCAAAACCAGAGCTGGAAATTACCACTCTGGTGTGTTTTTTAAATGAATAAATCAATCTGTACAGCTGTTTTGCAGAAAATTAGAGTAACCAAATCAGAAGTGTCCCTACGGCTCTGGCCAGTTTTGCTCAGTCTCCATCGGCTTGCAGACCAAAGGGTCCCGGGTTCACTTCTGGTCAAGGGCATGTACCTCGGTTGCAGGGTTTTTTTTGGCTCGGGCCCTGGTCTGGCTCGTGCAGGAGGCAACCAATCAATGTGTTTCTCTCACATCAATGTCTCTCTCTCTCTAATGGAGCCCAGCCAGCATGACTCAGTGGTTGAGAGTTGACCTATGAACCACAAGGTCATGGTTTGATTCCTGGTCAGGATACCTGCCTGGATTGTGGGCTAAATCCTCAGTAGGGTCATGCAGGAGGCAGCCAGTCAATGATTCTCTGTCATCATTGATGTTCGTTCTCTCTCTCTCTCTCCCTCTTTCTCTCTCTCTCTCTCTCTCTCTCTCTCTCTCTCTCTCTCTCTCTCTCTGAAATCAATAAAAATATCTTTTTTAACTTTAAAAAATAAAATAAAAATCAATGAGGATGAATATTAACAAAATAACAAAAAACAAAAGGAGTGAAAATTGTACGTTCTTGTGACCTAGGAATGAGTTCTGGTTGATATTGTCCTCTACTCAATGAAAGGAAGAAAGATAAGAGAAGTAATTACAGGATAATGAAGGGCCTGGTAGGACAAGGTAAACTGCCACATTGTTCTGCTCCCTTTATGTCACTGCGGTAGTGGGAATTGGAGACAGGCTATGTACCCAGCACTAGGGGGAAGGATGGATGAGATGTGGATAAACATGCTGGCATATTTCGCAGCTCTTAGGAGCAGCAAACTATGTGTTCATAGAGCAATACTTAAAAATCATAGGGCAAAGTGGAAAAAGTAAGAAAGAACTCAATATTTACAGCGTACTGCCATTTATGTAACTGCTCATTCTACACACACACACACACACACACACACACACACACACTACTACTACTACATACCGGTATTATTCAAACCAATGCATATTTAAGGACTTAGCATATTAGAGTGAGTGCAGGGAGTAAGGGAAAAAGTGAACATCCAAGATGAAGTTTAGAGATGAAAAAACAAAATAAACATTTTACGGGCTGAAGTTAAAAGTAACTAAAATGAAGATACCCTAAACTCTCAACTATAGATGCCAGAACTTTCAGTCATCTATTATTGAAGAAAAAAAAGAGAGGAAAAAAAAGCCAAAACGGGTTTGGTTCAGTGGATACAGCATCGGTCTGTGGACTGAAGGGTCCCAGTCAAGGGCATATATACTTTGGTTGCAGGCACATCCCTGGTAGTGGGTGTGCAGGAGGCAGCTGATCGATATTTCTCTCTCATTGATGTTTCTAGCTCTCTATTCCTCTTCCTTTCTCTCTGTAAAAAAGCAATAAAATATATATATTTAAAAAAAAAAAAAAAAAAAAAGCTGTGTTAGGACACTTCCAGCCCCCAGGTGGCTATTCCCCTCCCAGCTTCTCCTGTAGCTGAACCATTTTCCTGGGTTGGCAGCATCCATGTGCTGCAGCTGCCAGAAGCTTGCCTTGGATTACATCACCCTGTTTGGTTATGGGGCTTTTAATTAAGCTGGTGCCTTTTGACACATCAATCATCACATGGCTGTGGGCTTTATAGAGCAAAGAGATTGCTTTGTGAGGGAGGCCAATTTTCCTAGAGTTTCACGTTCACCTAAAATAACTCTCTTTAGCCAGGCAAAATTGATTTTCTGTATATAACCATTGTAATGATACTTAGATAATGGATGCTAATGAGTAACTGTAATCCACTACCTCCCTGACCTTACCCCTAGTGAGAGACCTGCAACCTTGATACTTGATCATGTCACAAACACTTTTCCTCCTTAGATTTGTGAACTGAATTACTGTTGCCCCTGTATTTTCTGTCGTATTGCTACATAACAAATTATAGCCAATTCTCATTATTCGGGGTAGTTATGTCCTATAAAGCCACTGAGAACTCTGAATGAGCAAATATTGAACCATTGCTCCTAGAAGAAATGCAGGGTTAGGTTCCTGCCAGCCTCTGGTCACATCATTTCCATGCATTGATCAATACATAACTCTGTTTACCTGTGTTTCTGTTTAAAGACACCTTATTGAATATATAAGGTTGACGCATTAACATTGAAATCACAGCCAACCCGTGCCTGAACGAAGCTTATCTGATACATAATTTTCTCCATAAGGCACATTACAGTCTTCTTATGCTTAGGAACACTAGAGAGTACTTCACTCTATGCTTGGAGACCATTTCCAGACAGTGAAATCACCAACAGAAATTTAAAAACAAACAAGCATGACACTAAGTGGACCATGAAAAGGACACCTGTCCGCAATATTGGAGTTGAAACAAGGCACTACCTTGCCCTGTTCCGCCTCATCTGGGAACGTGTGCATCAAGCAATAAACTCAACATTTTCTCTGCTCTGTGCATGTCCCTAGTGACCATGAAGGTGCATGCAGTGTGTGTTGGGTTTGAGGGTTACAAATAAATTTTAGCAGGCAGGCGAATTTGCAAGTACGCAATCTTTGCATAATGAAGATGGACTGTGTCCCAAAACGCAGTGGTCTCAAGCAACACACATTTATTCTCCAGTTTCTCTGAATTAGAATCCAGGTGCATCTTAGCTGGGTCTCTCACAGGCTGCAAGCACAGTGCTGGCCCAGCGTCTCTCACAAGACTCCATCAAGGTTCAACTGGGGCAGAATCAACTTGCAAGTTCATTCACATGATGGTCGGCATGATTTGATTTCATTTCTCAAAGGGCATTGGACTCCTTTCCTGCTGGCTTTTAGAGGGAGGCCATCCTGGTGCTTTGACTAAGGGACTCTGATAAGACAGCTTGTTTCATTGAAACAAACCTGTCAGAGTCTGCCAACTAGATGGAAGTTATAGTTTTTTGTAATTTAACCACAAAGTGAGATCCTGTTGATTTTGCTGTATTTTTTGGATCAGAAATAAGTCACTAGATCCAGACTCAAGGAGAGGATTACACAGAGGTGTGGATATGAGGGGGTGGGGTTCATTGGATGCCATTGTAGAAGTTGGCCTACCAATTCCCCCAGCCCCCTGCCAATTCCTGTTTGACTTCCTCTCAACTTACAAGTGATGGAATTGCTCAGTTTCCCTTTCTTTACATTTTCTGCCATTTCCCTGTGACCTCAACAACACATTTCTTTAGATTATTCAAATCCTTGTTACAATCCCAACCTCCAAACACTCACCATCATTTTCTCACTCAGTCTCTGAGCCCCTTTCAATCTCTGAGGGGAAAAAATTGAATTCTCTCCTTTTCCTGCCCTGATGAGACCATTTCCTTACTATCCCATTGTCACTGAAATCACAGACACTGGGATTTAAATCCTGGTCTGCTTACCAGCTATATTATTTTGAGCTAGTTACTTAACTTCTTTGAGCCTTGGTTTATTCATTTATTAAATGTGGCTAAAACTCTCATTTTACATACTTACGTAAAAGTTTAAATGGGATTTAAATGTCCAGTCTAGGACTTAATACATAAGAGCCTTTGATAAACATTAATTCTCTTCACCCTCTTTTTCATCTTCCCACTCACCAAGCCTTTTCTCTATTAACTTGCCAACTTCTCCAAATCCATTGCGGAGCCCACCTTTAGTTTGTCAACTATGTCAGCATCTCATTTCCTCTCCTGCCCCTCTTCTAAACAGACTAATTCTTTTTAACCTTTCCTCCTCTCAGTTGCAGCGATTTTACTCCATCCTCTGCCTTACACTCCCTCCCCCGCCAATTCTTCCCAAGCCTCACTTGCTGTCTCAATAAGTATCCTTTAATGTCTCATCCTTTCTAATGCCACAACCCTTTAATACAGTTCCTCATGTTGTGGTGACCCCCAACCATAAATTATTTTCATTGCTACTTCATAACTATAGTTTTGCTACTGTTAATGAATCATAATGTAAATATCTGTGTTTTCTGATGGTCTTAGGCTTGACAACAGGTTGAGAACCGCTAGCAGGGCGGTTCTCAACAATATTTCAGACCTGATTTGTGGTACTGTATCTTGATGATGTTCACTTTGAACACTGGCTAAAATGATGTCCACTGCAAACATACCTTTTTCTCTTTGTATTATAATTCATTAGTATTTTGTTAGGAGGTATTTTGAGTATATGTAAATATACTGTTGTGCATCAAATTTTTAGTTCATTCATTTATTTATATCAATATAAACTCATGGAATCCTATATTATTCAATGTTATAATCTGTTATGAATGATTATTTATTTTGATCCACAAGTTGCCTAAGTCTGGCCAGTGGGAGCACCTTTGATGTGACTTCAATGTTCTTTGATGTGTTCCCATCAATCTTTGAGTACATTTTTACTTTCTGGTGCAAGATATTTCATAGTTCCAGGCCCATTTTGTATATTCTCCACCAAGCCTTTGAAAGCACCCATTTCATTTCTTCAAGGAGCACTGTCCCTTTCAGTGGAAAATAATATTTGGAAGCCAAGATCTGAGTGCTCATTGCTAACTGGGGTGTCA